AAAAAAAAAAAAAAAAGTTACTGGGCGCAGTGGTGTGTGCCTATAATCCCAGTGGCTCTGGAGGCTGAGGCAGGAGAATCACAAGTTCAAAACCAGCCTCAGTAAAAGTGAGGCATTAAGCAACTCAATGAGACTCTGCCTCAAAATGAAATACAAAATAGGGGGGCTGGGGATGTGGCTCAAGCGGTAGCACACACGCCCGGATTCGATCCTCAGCACCACATACAAACAAAGATGTTGTGCCTGCCGAAAAACTAAAAAATAAATATTAAAAAATTCTCTCTCTTTCTCTCTCTCTCTCTTTAAGAAAAAACAAAAACAAAAACAAAAAAACCAAAATAGGGCTGGTCAAGTGCCCCTGAGTTCAATCCCCAGTACCCCCCACCAAGCAACAAACAAACTACACTTAAAGCTATGCCTATATAGTTGGGGTGATTTTTGGAAAGGGAGAGAGTACCCTAGTGGCCTTGGGGAAGGTGGTGAGATGCTGTGTATCCTGCCCATCCCCTGCATGCTCCATATTTTCTTTAGTTTACAAGCATTAATTGTATGTAAAAATTGAGAAGAAGGAATGCATTATTTTTGCTATCACTGGCCAACAGTGGCTTCCTACAGATTTTGTCTGATACTTCAGAATTTAAGGAGGCACCTACTCTCATGGTCCTGCAAGTGCAGAATGAGTCCTGATAGCCAGGGCAACTCCAGGGGCCTCCCTTGCCCTGCTGCCTCATGCTGACCCTGCCCAACTCTGCCATGCAGTGTCTTCTGTACAGTAAATAGGATGAATGGAACTCCCTGCTGTGTGCGGTGTCCATTCTAGAAGGGAATGTGGGAGGAGTTCTGTTCCTCACTGAGGTTCCAGAGGGTGAAGTGACTGTCCCTAGCAAAGAAACAGTGTGCATTCGAGACTCCTGTTTGTGTGTCTCTCCTCCTGTGATCTTTCTCCTGCCTTGGGCAGCAGCCATGCTGATACTTATGTGCCAGTCCCCATTGGTATTCAATAGGATCAGTGTGGAGAATGACAAGTGGGGAGTACTCTGCATAGTGGGAGTGGCTAGGTTATTGTGGGGATCCCTCAGAGGGATTGCTGCTCTGCTCCGACTTTAAGCAGAATTCTCTCTTGCCCTCCAGCCTCCAAAGTAATCCCAGACCTGACCCAGCTGCGGAAGATCAAGTCCATGGAGCGGGTGCAGGGCGTGAGCATCACCCGCGAGCTGCTCTGGTGGTGGGGCATGCGGCAGGCCACCGTCCAGCAGCTGGTGGACCTCCTGTGTCGCCTGGAGCTCTACCGTGCTGCCCAGATCGTCCTGAGCTGTGAGTAACCAGTTGGCTTCTGCAGAGTTTTGGGGTGGGCTGTATTTTCTGGTCTTAGAACCTTTATAAGCACCCTCCACCTACTGTGATCCTGGAGATAGAACCCCAAGCCTTGTCCATGCTAGGTAAGCACTTAGCCATTAGCTCAGCCTTAAAACCTTTTTAATTTTGTGATTAAAAAAAAAAATTAAGAGCTGGAGATGTAGCTTAGTGGTAGGGTGCTTGCCTAGCATACATGACGCCCTGGGTTCTATTCTTGGTACTGCAAAGAGAGGAAAAAAAGAGAAGGATGGGTTATCTATTTAAAAAACAATTAAGTGAAAAAAAATTAAAGGTCTGATAGCTGTTACATAAAAATTCAAAATAAGGCATAGAATAAAAATAACTCACATTGCCCTGTTTATATATCTTAAGTGGTAACCACTGTTAACAGTTTCTTGTCTATCATTGGTAGAAACCGTCTCTCTGTCTGGACAGCCCCTGTTAACACACTAGGGCACCCAGTACACTGTTGTACACTGATGTTTCAACCTAGCACTAGATCTTGGAGACTGTTTCATGCTGACATATTTTTTATTTGATTGTTTATGTATTTATTTTGTGTGGTACTGGGATGGAACCCAGGATTTTTGGGCATGCTRAGCAAGCCCTCTACCGTTGAGCCACATCCCCAGTGCTGACATATTCTTTTTAACAGTTAGAGATTTGGGTTGTTTCTAGCTTTTTCCTCTTCTATACAGCATCATGATGCACATCTCTGGACATAAGCAACTGTGCTCTGCACACGTTTTGAGTATAGCCATAGAAGACTTTCTAGCATTGGAGTGGTTGGGTTGGAGCTTTGCGTATTTCAAGTTTCATTTGCTGTTGAGATCAGTATTACTAAATTGTTCTCCTACAATCATAGTGGGAACATATTTAGCAGCAGTCATACCTCCCTGCCTGGAAGGGTGGCTGTGGAATTGAAGGGTCATAATGTGATAGGTGCCTCATGTTGAGCAGAAGGCAGTAGGGATGTGGCACCTGGTTACCTGGACCCCTCTCTGTCCCCAAGGACATCCCTTCCATGTGGGTCAGGGAGCCATTCTGAGCCCCTGGCTTGTGTCTAGTACTGTGTTTGGTTCTAGAAATACCACATAGATGACAGTTAGTCCTCTGCCCTCAGAGAGCATTGTCTTGAGAGGAGGCAGTTAATATGAAAAGAAGTAAAAGTGGATATACCAGTTAAAGAAAGAAGCCAATAGGACAGATTGACCAGGTAGGGGAGTCTTCTAGGACAAGTGGTCAAGGAGGTACTATCTGCTGAGATGAAACTGCAGGAGTGGAAGGGAGACAGTCACATGGAGTTGGGGTAAGAGAGCCCTGGGAGAGGGACCAGTTTTTGTACAAAGGCCCCATGGAGCCTGGGCTGTGGAAGGAGATGGAGCTGCCTTGTGTGGGGTTCCTGAGCTGAGGATAACCTCGCTGGACCAACACTCCCAGGTTCAGCACTTGCCTGAATGTCTCTGAGACCCTTCTGGAATCAGGGAGGGTTTCCAGAAGGAGGGGCTTAGAGCAGGGGACCGAGGGYTGGGTGCTTCGAGAGCACCAACCTCAGATAAACTGGGGGCATCTAGAGCTGCAGACCACTTGTAACTTTCAGAATCACTATGAGCAGATCACACTGGGTGGGGAGGCCAGGCAGGATAGCAGGATTGTCATTACTCTTCAGCTGCCAGGGGACTTCCCAGGACTTGGCATGCTGAGGGAACCTAGAGCTTTCACACACCAAGACTTCCTGTCAGAAATGGGGACAGTCCTGCTCCAGTGGGCGTGACATTCCCGCATGAGAGACTCTAGCCAGGCTTGTTTCTGCACAGGCCTGTGATCTACAAATCTAGTCAGTGTCTCTTGCATCAGGTCCTTTCCCAGGCTTCTGCCTGGCCTGCCTCACAAAGCGTGCCTTCCTCAGCTTGGGAAGGTGAGCTGCCCAGCACACAGCCTACCCACCTTCTAGAACCCACCCGAAGCCCCTCCTTGCCCTGTTCTGGGGCTTTAGACCCATGTGCTGTGGTTAGTCAGAGAGGCTCAGGTGCTTTAGGATCAGTGCTGAGGCAGTAATTTGCTCTCTGGTGACCCTTTCTTTCCTTGGGCCCCAGACCACACCTTTGTCCACTGAGGGAGCTGGGCTGGATGATGTGCAGAGTCCCCCTCTGGCTCCTGGTGTCTTGGCCCCCATTAACACTGGTTACATGGTAGTGTGACCAATACCTGCCAGCTGGATTGGCTTCTCTGTGTTCCCAGAACCTGGTGTGTGGCAAATGCTGAGAAATGATCATTGACTGGATGAGCCCTAAAGTGTTTTTGAGATAATTATTGGTAAAGTCCTATGAAATCCAAAAGAGGCAAGGAGAGGGCCATGGGCGACGGCAGGAAGAGCTGCTGGCTCCCGTGTGATCAGGAGCACAGGGCTCGGGACCAGGCCAGTCTACTTTGGGGAGGGATGCAGTGAGGCGAGGCCTGTGCAGACCCCACTGTTGCCCTGTGGAGTGGGCTGAGGTGTCCCAGGGGGACACACTTCTTGTGTGAAGTGTGCCCCCTGGGTGAAGGCAGTTCTCTGAGGACTGAGACACAGGTCCCGGATAGACACCCTCTTATGGATGTCAAAGCCTGACTACTGACTTTTGTGAACAGACTCTTTGAGGTTAAGAAATAGCACAGGGCTGGGGATTTAGCTCAGTTGGTAGGGTGCTTGCTTTGCATGCACAAGGTCTGCAATTCCTCAGCACCACTCAGAAAAAAAAAAGAGCACAGCATAAGATTTAGGGAAAAACACCCATGTAGCAGGACTGTGCCTCAGCAGGACACTCACATTCAGGAGTACTTTCGAGGTGCTGGGTCCTCTGTGGAGTGCTTGGCTCCCTGTAGCAGCCTTAGAGGGTATCAGGAGCCTTTCTCCACCCAGGAAACCAGGCCTTGCATGGCTCACAGCCTCCTCCAAGGGCCACAAGATCACATCTACCTGTCTGCATCCAGAGCCCGCTGCCTAACCTGTCATTGGAGCTTTAGTGGCAGGAGTTGCTACTCAACTGTGGGCTCTCAGCCCTCCCAAAACACCAGTGATGTCCTGCCAATCTGCCTCCGTTCTGTAGAACCTTCCTCACCCATGCTCTCCTGTTCTGCCTCCACCTTGCTCTCTTCTGATCCCCTCAGCTCTGCTGATYTGAGTTGCCTGAGGAAGAGGGACGAAGGCTGTTTCCAGACCCATAGTCTCCTGGCTGTTCTGCATAGGGCATCTGGTTGTATTTTTACTATTGCTATGAGTCCTGAGGCAAGGCATTGCCCCTTTCTGTGTCTTGATTGTGGCAGTCCCTGTCACTTTCTAGAGGTAAACATTCAGGCCATTGTGGATCATTTTAAGTTTCTATAATCACCTTGTTACCCCCGCTCCAAAAAAAAAGGTTGTTGCTCAGTTGGTAGAATGCTTCCCTCGCATGCACAAGGCGCTGGGTTCAATCCCTAGCACCACCAATCCGCGCCCCTCCCCAGTTATAACATTGTTTAAACCTTATTACTCAGCTGTACCTGGCAGTCTGAGAGACTGATTTCTGCCAACTTTTTTTTTTTTTTTTTTTGGTGGTACTGGAGATTGAATCCAGGGCCTCCTACATGCTAGGCAAGCACTCTACCACTCAGTTACATCCTCAGCCCTTTGTCTTTTTTATTTTAAGGCAGACAGCTAAGTTCTTGAGGCTGGCTTTGAACTTGTGATCTTCTTGCTTCAGCCTCCTGAGCAGCTGGAATGACAGGCATAGCCATCTAGCCCACTGACTTCCAGGAATTCTGATGCACTTTAAGTGTAAGGATATCTCAGATACCTGGTTCTGTGGTTTCTGACTTCACCTCAGTGGGCAGCAAGAGTGGAACTTCCTTATTCTTTACTCCCTGAAGCCTTATCTGAAGTGGAGTCAGAAAGCATGTGCTTTTACTGAGAACTCCTTGGTTTTCATATCCTTTTCCTGCTGGTGTGGGTTTGAGGGCCCAAAGGGAGTTGGGGGGAGTCAAATAATCACAAGGTGTTTTCTTTTTTTTTTTTTTTTTGATGTACTGAAGACTGAACCCAGGGGTGCTTTACCACTGAGCTACATCCTCAGCCCTTTTTATTTTTTAATTTTTTGAGACAAGATCTTGCTAAGTTGCTGAGGCTGGCCTCCAACTTGTGATCTTCCTCCCTCAGCCTCCCAAGAGGCTGGGATTACAGGCCTACATCACTGAGCCTGTTTACTAATCACAAGCCTTTATCAGACCAGGCCTGTGGTTTCTTTGGTGATACAATTCTCACGAAAACTAGAAGCTTCCAGTTTCTTGGTTTCTAATCACTTCTACTGTGGTTATCACAGCCAAAGATCCAGCCTAGACCTATCAGTACTGAACCCTGACACCTTTTATCTTTCCTGCACTGGCTTCTAAGCTTAGTTGCCCGCCAGTCCTAATTTAAAGTACTTACCAGGTGCCTCCCTTGATGCCACTGGAACCAGTTGGATGGGAAGTGTCAAAGGACAAAAAGTATAATTTAAAGATTTACCTGGTATGAAGATGTGAGGGAAAAAAATAGTGTTACCTTAGATTAGGTAGAGAGAAGTGATGGGAAGGGAGGGGAGGGGATGGGGAGATAGGAAGGATAGTAGAATGAAACAGACATTATTACTGCTGTGTGTATATATGTGACTGCATGACCAATGTGATTCTACAACCTGTATACTCAGAAAAATGAGAAATTATATCCCATCTGATTCAAATGTATGATATGTCAAGGTCATTGTACTGTCATGTGTAACTAATTAAAACAAAATTAAAAAAATAAATTCCTACATAGCAAACTATTAAAAAA